ATAAAAATCGACAGGAAAATTAAGAATGTCAACTCCTACCAAAATGTTTTCGAGCACTCCCACTAGGTGAATGCTTGAGCGATCCGCCAACTGTATAGTCACTTGTTTTTCCTTCAAAGGCTCGTTAGTAATCATCTTATAAATAGAAAGTGACATAACATTAATCGAAGCTCCTAAATCTCACATTGCATGCTTAATTGAAAAATTACCTATTTTACAAGGTATGTCGAACATACCTTGATCCTTCATTTTTTGTAGCAGTTTCCGGGTCAAAACTGCTAAAACATGTTCTCCCAACTTTACCTTTTCGTGGCCGTGCAAATTTCTCTTTGTAGTACAAAGTTCCTTCAAATATCGAGCATACCTTGGAACTTGTCGGATTACTTCAAGTAGAGATACGTTAACTTGTACTTTATGGAATACTTCTATAATTTCTTTTTCTTCGGCTTTTTTTCACACCTCATCAATCTTGATGGGAAGGGTGGCGCAACTTTGTGGGTAGGAGGAGAAGGAAGAGAAATGACTTTGTTAGAAAGAAAAAAAATGAGAAATAGGCGAAGATGATGTACCTGAATCGTCGGAATTGGGCGTTTTCTCCTCTTTTTTGGAACATGCGACATCCTTCTTGGGGTCTTTCGGCATGATAACAATTCCACTTCATAGGGTAATAACACTAACATTCTCTTGCGAATTTAACTCCATTTTTAGAAGTTAGTCTTCCATGCAATTCTAATCTTCCCATATTTTAGGCTAATTGGCTTAGTTGTTTATCTGGCTCTTGCAGTTTCGCTTTAGTTCTCCCTTGGAATTTTTTCTGGGAAGCAATAAATTCTTTCTAGTAAATTACCAACTTCTCCACCATCGCCTCCAATGATGTCTTTTGCATTTGTGGTTGTAGAGGTGTCTCGGTTGATAATTCGGCTTTAAATTTTGTGTGTAATTGAAGTTCAGATGGTCCTGCCATCTCGGATTATAAGTATTCCCATATGAATTGTAAGGTCTTTGAGGAGGTTTGGAAAGCTCCCTATGATGTTGACTTGCACGTTTTCTTGTAGCATCAGGCAACAGTCCGTCGGATGATCTGGAATCGTGCATATCCCACAAACTCTTGTTACTTCAGATTTCCCTGCAATAAGAGATAACAACTTCAGTTAACTTGTGTAATTTATTTCCAATGGAAAATGTACTTATCTTGTGAACCCGTCGGCTGGGTTCACTTGAAAACTATTGAGAATTGACTGTCATGGTAGAAATTAATTATCTTGTAGTTGTTGGTGTCATATTAACTAAGGCTCTTCCGCTTGTGGCATCAATCATCTTCATTTCTAATGCGACAATCCTTCATAAAAATATTACAATAATGTTTATTCGCTTAATTCGTGTTGCGGACAGCTCGCGCAAAGCTTTTTGAATATTTCCCTATAATAGTAAATATTTTCTTCTGGCTTCTGTCAGATTAAAAGAATGCTCCTTCGTAACTTGCTTCTTTTGGCCACCGGAAAGTACCTATCAACAAAAATTCAACACATGTCAGCCCGATAATTAATTGAGTTTGGAGGTAAATAAAATATCCACTCCTTAGCCGAATCGACTAAGGAAAAAAGGAAATGCTCTCAATTTTATTTGATCTTTGGAAACTCCCTGTGATTTCATGCTAGAGCAAACCATTTGGAATTTTGTCAAGTTCTTGTGCAGATTTTCATTAGGAAGATAGTAGAAAGTATGTAGGAGATGAATAAGGTTGCTCTTCAATTGAAATGGAACTTCTCCTTGTGGAAAGGCTATACAAAGTGGAATCTCCCGGATCGTTTGTTCTTTTGCAATCAGGATCTGGTCTTCGTTGTTTGATTTGGTGTAGGAGTCAATTTTGGACTCTGTTTATAAATCTGGATCGTTTTTTAACTATACCCTTGTTCTTCTTGTATTTTTCTTTTTCTCGAAGCGCTTGTGCGTGGAGTCTTCGTGCTCTTGATTCGATCTTTGGGTCAAAATATAGTAATTCTTCTGGGTTATTTCTGGTAATAAATAAAAAACTAAAGAAAAATAATCAGTAATTGTCGTTAGTCCCCAGTAACGACATCAATTTGACATGTGTCATTTTGCATGTTAAAATAAATTCTTTCTTCTCGAAAAAAATAAAGGAAATTAAATATAGTATATGAGAAGTAATGATCGATCCCACAGAGACTAAAGAAGCCGATGAAATTCTTGGCTTTTGATTCTGACCTTGGCATGAATTTAGAAAAAAATAAATTGGGGGGTTTTGTAGTTAAAGAATAAAAACAAGGAAATAAAAGAAGATTTAAAGGAAATAAAAGAAAGGTAGATAAAGGAAGTTCAAAAATCAATTGATTAAATCAACCTTAGATTTTTGCTCTGACTCAAATTCTTCGGATCATCGAAATAGATTTACCCTTCGGGATTCACGTGGTTACTTTGTCTACAAGGACAAATCCTTGCGAGTAACTTTTATAGAGAATACCCAATTGCCACTCTTAGATCTGAGATTTAGAAATTGATCTAATCAACATTAATTGTTGTAGATCAAGAACCGTTTAAACGTATAAAAACTGACTCGGATAGTTGTTTCCATACAAATCGTTTCCGATCTCAATTCCCACTTAGCAACAGTCTGCTAGTTGTGTTCCCAGGAAGTTCATTTGCTATCAGTTAGCCAATCCTTCCTCCCATATGTTTAATTGCAACAACATTCCAACCATCGACTATATTTGATTTTGAAAAATTGGTTGGATTTGAAATAAGTGTAAAAGAAATTGAGAAATGTATTCGAAGTTACTTAGGTGCTTTTCAATTCTCACGTTAAAATTGAGTCATCGCTTAGCCCTCGGCTTAGAAGAAAATTAGCTAAGCATGACCAAAGTCATACTTAGCTTTTTAAAAACAAAGCTTAAAAGAAAATAACAAAGATTGAATGAATGATGAAAAAGGCTTACCCGAGTTGGGTATTTATAGCCTTCTAAAACCATAGAAATACTAAAGATAATCCAAATTAAATTACAAAAGATAATTCTGAAAAATAATTTGAATTTAATTCTAAAAGATAAAACCTAAATCTTGAATTTGAATGTGCTTGAAATGCTAGTCGTCTGGCTCATCTTCTATAAGCCTGCTGACTAAGCACTTCTGGAAGCTGCTGACGTGGCAGTGAGTCAGTGTTTCATGCCCACTATTCCAGACTTGGTTCCAGAATAAAAAGTGCAGTTTTCATGCCTTTGTAGTACATTTTCCAGCAATGATCGTCGTGCACAAAAAGCATGTAAAAATATCCAATTCAGTAGTAAACATGGACAAACAAATAACATTGAAACACGAAAAGTAACACAAAATAAACACTAATCACCACCCCTTCTCCAACAAATTGGGAAATACTTGTTTTAATCGTAGAAGAGCCAAGGCGCTGAGCCCCTCGCCCGACGCCTAAAGCCCATAGGCGTGCGCCTCACAATGCTTCCTGTAAAAAGACTAGTTCTGACCAAGGTGGACGTTCTCTTCATTGTCTCTTTGCGTTTGCGCCTAAGGTGCGCTTTTAAAAACCCAGCTTTTATGGATATCTATTTTTCTATTTACGCTTAATACCAAAATAAGTGCTCAAACTATATCAGTTTTCCCAAATAGGTGCCTAAACTATTTTTTGACTTATCTCGGTGCCTAATATTTCAAACGTTACCCATTTAGGTGCCGGAGCAGTCAACGACGTTAATTTCTCCCATTAAGTGACACGTGTCACAATCTGGTGATTTTGACATTTATTTTTTTAAAATATTAAAAAATATTATGATATTTATAAAAAATACTAACTTTTCTTATATTATAAAACAACTCCAAAATCCTAAATCCTAACCTTAATCCACTGTTGCCGCCTTTTTGACCATGACCACCGCCACCTACATAGTCTCTACTATCCTCGTACTCATATGTCATTGTAGTTTCCGTCGATTGACCATCGAAATCGCGTGAGATTGCGATTTTCATCCCAGGGTTCTCGGGTATAAAACATTGATTCGTTGTCGATCGACCGTTGATTGATCACGATTTCATGGGGATTTTGGTCGCCGAGGGTAGGGGAGGTCAGGTGGAGCTTTGTTTACGGCAAAAGGCGGCAACCGGTGTGGGTTTAAGGGTTGAAATGAATGTTTTCAAAGTTTTAAGTTTATTTCAAAATTTGTGCTCTTTTTAAATATATATATATAATTTTTAATTTTTTTTAAATTTACCGGGTTGTGACTCCTATCACTTAACAGAGAAATTAACACCATTTACGACCCGGACACTAAATGGGTAATATTTGTAACGTTAGACATATAGATAAGTCAAAAATAATTTAAGTATATATTTGAAAAAAACGATATGTTTGATCCCTTATTTTTTATATTAAGCCTTCTATTTGATATACGTCACTCACAAACACTGTTTGTGATGTATTTCAATGACAGTATGTGGAATAGTTTTCTGGGATGTATATTTTTTTCACTTAAATTTCATCATTGTAGAGAACACCCAGAGCTTGAGATTGCTGACATAAACTTGAAAAAAAATCCATAAATTAAAAGAGAATAAACGAATAACTTTTTGTGTGAGATAAGAAATTGTTTAGGAAAAAAGGAATAGGGTTTGCAACATAAGAAACCAGTCGGTTTTCACTAAATTCTCGTATGAACCTTTGTTAAAATGGGATCCAGCCACATCAGACGTGTGTTATCCAGGAAATGACACAAAACAACAGTGACTATTGGTGTAATTTAACCTTTAAATTAAGAAAGAATGGGAAAACAAGAAAACTATTACGTACAAAATTAACAAGCATATGTTTTAGTTCATGCATTCAATCAATAAGTGACGCAAGATAATATCATTTCCTATCAAAATCAATTCCATTCATGCATATAAGCACTTATTTTCAAGTACAATTGCAACACAATAGCTTCCCAGCGCTGGGACTAATTTAGACTTTTTAACACAATTCTTTTAGCATAAACATTAATCATGTATTCATCTCGTGAGAAAGTAAGAAAAAATTGTTACTCTCCGTGCCAGCGGATAATCCGAATTCCGAACCCAGTAAACAACTTTGGCTCGAAAGGTACCTCTATTTTTTGTGCTGTTTTATCTCTTTGATCACACCGTCTGTCAGTGAATCAACATCATTATTCTTCCCGAAAAACTTTACGAATTCCATATTAGGATCCATCAAGTACCTGCATAAGAAAGAACAAAAGACCGATGTCAATAGGAGTTTGAACTTTACATGGAGCTCAGCATTAAGACTGAAATTCAAATTATATTACGAGTATTCATGTGAGAACAAGAAACAAGCTCACATAGCCTTCCTACAAGCAGTGCATGAATGAGATGCCAACGGTAGGCAACAAAATGGTTCAATGTTCATTAGTAATTTCACCAATAAACTAACGTTGCAAGTTGATAGGTTTAGGAACTTTACAGCAGTATCACACGAGTTCACATTACCGGCATTGCTCCCTTCGAGAGTCACTGCTATGGTGAAATCGGTAGACACACTGATCTTACGAAGCAGTGCTAGAGCATCTCGGTTCGATGGTGATAAAATGGTTCAATATTTAGTAATTTTCCCTTGCCAAGACAATTAAGTCTTCGGTAGGAAAAACTGATAACCTTCTCTCATCTCATTACCTAATCAAACAACTCTACCCTGTAAAATGTAATATTTTTCCGTTTAGAGATTTGCTATTTTATCTACATCAATGTCTACATACACCGATGTCCTATCATTCTACAGGTCGCAGGACTGTGCCAGTCAACATCATGCCGATACGAACAAAAAATGCAAGTCAAATAAAACAAAGCTAATACTTACATGACTATGGAATGATCAACAAGGTAGTCTGAATCTTCCTCAGCTGTCTTCATATAATAAACTCGATATGCACGAGCAACTTTTTTTATCTCGTCAGTGCTACCAGTTAACCCTACTAATTTTGGATGAAACTCTGCAACAGTGGAGAAATAATTAGAGATAAAATTTCCGATGAACCAAATTATATAATTTGCATATGTATCAGGTCCAAAATATCATACTTTCTAATATTACTATAAGTACCTTTCACGTATTCACGTACTTGCTCAACGGTATCTCTTTCAGGATCAACAGAGATAAATACAGGCTCAATTTCTATTCCCGCCTTTTCCTCTGAGAAGTGAAATCAAAAGAAGAAACCAAATAGAAATTAACGTTATTATAATGTCACCGATCAGAAGAGTTGTTTCTAGTCTGATAATTTCATAATTGCTTTAATCTCTATGGTTATAAGCAAATTTTTAACTAAACGAAATTACAATTCATAATTTTATTTTCCGGCCAAATGAAACTACGAGCAACATACTTATTTTGTCGATAGCAGCAGCCAGCTTTTGCAGTTCATCTGGACAGATATCTGGGCAGTGAGTGAAGCCAAAATATACCAAACTCCACTTCCCCATAAAGTCCTTTTCAGTAACACGTTTGCCTTCATCATTTATAAGACTGAATGGCCCCCCGATGGCTGCTTTTCCAGCAGCTGGCCCTTCTTTAACAGCCTTTGAAGCATTACTTATTTCTGCAGCAGCAAAGCCTCGAGTCTTCAACCAAAATATGCAGGAAAGAAAAGGCAATATGATACTAGAGATCATGGATTTAAATTGCGGTTGCGGTCGCCTTTTTGGTTGCATTTATAGCGATTGCAGCAATAGCGGGTGACATTGCGGGCATCGCGGTTGTGCAATAACGGTTTTGGATGGCACCTTTACTGCTATATAATGGCCGCTGTTCTGACAGCGGGCCGCTGTTTAAATCCTTGCTAGTGATGACTAATTCAAAATCAGAGGCATTTCATTCATCATCAAGCTGAATCAGAACAACTCTTTCTGGCTACAGTTTTCTACTACTCTAATATATAAAGCCTTGAAAACACATTACTATTCCTAAAATTGCAAGTTACAAAAATCCAACTCACCATAGAAGTGTACCTTCAATATGTCGTTTCTTTAGATTGTCGTAGTAAAGGATAATACCAATTCCAGTGGCAAGCAGCAACAGAAAACTCAACCATGAAACAGGCTGCAAATTCCAATTCAATCAAATAGATCCGAATTCTAATTCCAAGCCAAAAAGGAAAATGAAAAAAATGAAGTACCGCGCCGCGAACAGGTTTGCCAGCACTACCGCCATTGCTCTGTTGCGAACCTCCAGTGTTTTGCGTCCCTTCAGAATCGGTTTTCGACGATGAAGATGATTTCTCTTGATTTTCATTAGGAGTTGTGGTGGTATTAGATAAATATCTTTGATAATTTCCCAAGGATTTGAATTCAGCTCCAACAGGAGTAGCCTGTGAACCACCAAAAAGAAAACTCATCATACATTGAAAGAATTTTAACAAGCGAAAAATGAGGAGGAAAACGAACTGGTCGCAAGGAAGGGATAGATGGGCCGTGGAGAGAATCGGCGATTGTTGTTGACGATGGAATAGGGGATCTGAATTGGCTCAGATTGCGGGCATAAACACACCGATGAAGGTTCCGTAAACGACTTGCGTTTCTCCAAATCGCGGTAGCCATGGCTGAATGGAATGGATTCTATTTCCTTTGTTTTTTCACTCTTCAAACTTTTTTTTTTTGGCTTATTGCTTTTTGATAAACCCTACTGTTGAATCGAGAAGGGTTTTGCAAATGGGTTAAATACATCTTCCATTCATAAACCATATCAAATTCTCAGTTTTATACGTACTGTTTAAAATTTTTGATTTCATACATGATAATTTTTACTGTTAACGGATTCACCTACATCCATCAGGAAGGTGACGTGAACCCTATAACTTACATTTAGCACTTTAAAAAAAGAATTAGTCACTAAAATGGCAGATATCGTGATCGTAGGGTTCTACGTCATCTTCCGTGACAGAAGTAGATGAATCTGTTAACAACAGAAAATATCATGTATGAAATCGAGAATTTTTCAACAATATGTATGAAACTGAGAATTTGGTATAATTCATCTATGAATAGAATATTAATCCCTTTGCAAATTCGATGGTTGAGATTCGACCTGGTATCGGTGTGAGCAAAGCTCAACTTAAAAAAAATGATTTTTTGGTTTAGTTCGATTTGAGAAAAAAAATATTCGAATTAACTTCGAAATGTAATTTCATAAAGTTGACTCGAAAAAATTTCAAATTAGTTTTGAATTGTATTTATAAAATACAACTCGAACAGTAAATTGATTTTTTTAATAATTAATAAATTAATTTTAAAATTTGAGTCGAGTCCCTCAACTTGTATAATATATATATATATATATATATATATATATATATATATCACATAAACATATGAAAGAAATATCTATGTATTATATATGGTTATAAAAATATTTAAATTTGAATAAAAATATCATAATATATAATATTTATAATTAAATTTAAACATAAATTCAAAAATTCAACTTGACTTTGCTCGAATTTTATAAACTTGACTCGAGTTTTATAAACTAAACTCGAAAAATTAAAGTCAAATCAAATTGTAAATAAGACTCGTCAACTCGAATAACTTAAAAAAAATTTGGTTATTATTTTTTGGGCTAAATTGAGAAAAATGGGCTCTATTAGAACGTTGTACAATCTAAAACTAAAATGCAAGTCGAACATATTTAGAATGATAATTTAATCCAAATTTGATTGATTATAATTTAATTTATATAATCAAATTTTTATTTACAAATTAAATTTAGGGCGAATCATTTTTTTCAAAGAACTAAATAGATTAGATCTGAATTTAGAGTGAATATTTATGACTCAACCCGGAATAATAATATAATTTTTTCATTAAAAGTAATTATAATAACTATTTTTATATATTTTCAATTAGATCTCTATTTTATTAAATAAAAATATTTTTTTATATTTATATCAAGTTGAATCAAGTCGAATATAATGCTACAATCTAATTCGAATGTAATTGATATGTTTCTTGTATCATGTCATATTTTAACCAAAAAACCAATCTAACCCGTTCTCATCCCTAATTGAAATAGTGACAGTATCGATCAATCTCAAAGAGAAAATTTTGATTAAAATACTATAAAATCTTATATTATTAACTTTCATGTTATAGATTTTATAATTATACAGCAATTTCAGTTATTGGGATAAATTTGAGTTATTTCGTATCTTAGTTGTGGGAATCAAACTCTGTTCTTTTCCATATTTTGCATGGAATATCATTCATCAGATGCCTCCAAAGGGCAAGATGATCACTGCTTCCTCCTCTCTGCCTGTTTCTTTGATAATGAATTGACCTCGAAAAGGTTTCTGCCATTATGAATTACTATGAGATAAAATCACAAACTGGTATCATGAAGGGCAAAATGATGAATAAACATCTCCGAAATCGACGCCAAACGCACAAGCAAAACTACAAATGCCACGATCAAAGTCTCAACGAGTCGATATGGCAACACTACAACCAGCTTGTCATATCACTAAATATAGATGATGACATGCATAGTTGCATGTAAGGACATATTTCCTACGTAATCCGATTGAAAGGGGAAAAAAAAAGCACCTACCTGCAGCAGAACCATACGCAGTGATGATCAAACAGCGAGAAGGGAGACCTCTGTAAAAAATCCGAGGGTTGTTGATCACATCACCAGTTTTAGACTGCAAGGAAAACAAAATGCTGTTTAGAAACAATAAAACATCCACAAAAGGTAGCCACATATAATATCAACTTAAATGATTGCACTGACCTCCATGTTCTTCGAGATTTCTTTCATTTGTTCAGCAGTTCTTCCTCTTCTTTGCAGCTGCACTCTCTTCAGTAGCGGAACTTGATGATAAGTTGAAGGTCAACCCTAAACTTTAAAATATTTGTAAATTTAAATTAAAATTTTCAAAATTTGAAGGGCTTAATTTATATTTTTCCAAAAAATATTAGGGTCTAACTAAAATTTTTGGAATTTTGAGAGGCATAATAAGATTTTTTTTTAAATTGAGAGGGGATTTAATTAAGATCATTAAATTAAAGTTAAATACGAATTTACCAAATTAAATTTCTTGAAAATTTAAAGGGTCTAAATTATAATTTTTAAATTTTGGGGGACCATAACCCTACTAGCTCTGCTTTTTCTTTTTTTAATTTTTTTAATTAAATCCTTATCTTATATCATATCAATTTAGGTTAAATCGAATTTATATAATCAAATCTTTCTGGTAACACATACAATCAAGTGTTGTTTTACTAGAAAAGAATCGAAGTCTTTCCGCAAACACATCCAATTCAACCCTCAAACTTTAAATAAAACTCCCAAAGTATATTAGTTAAAATATATTCAAACGTTTGAATGATAATATAAAATAGAGTATTACAAACAAATTGTTCATTATAAAACCTGAAGTGGTAGAATTTTGTATACAACTCCATGGATAGAGTGTTTCTCGTCTCTTGAGTAATCAATACAAAGCACGTCAGAAAGCAATTATAAAGGCAAATTAATCTTTTAATCTCCTAAAGTGTTACCTTAATTTTCATTTTTCCTTCGATTCGGGAATTCATGTAAGATACGAAGATTAATGATGAGAATTTAAACACGACCAAGATGAGATAACAATAACTTTGGGATAAGGTACACAAAGGGTAACCCACTATAAGATATTTTATTAAGTCTCTCGACTATTAAAAGTTACAAAATGATTCTTAAACTATAGAATGTAACTTTGTTAAGTTCCTCGACTTTAATAGTCGTTGGACTCAATAAAATAGTACCCTATAGTTGGGGGACTTAATTGTGTCTTTGCTCTAATTTTTTTTAAATTTTAATCATTGATTGAGAGTTCGTTCTGTACTTTTTTTTGTTGCCCTCCCGTTCCCAAGGCTTTACCTTGACTAATCCGAACCAACCCGGGTTGCAAAGTTTTGGTGGGTGAGTCTCCCAGCAATATTTTCTACATAATAAGAACTCGAACTCGAGATCTGATTAAGCGATATCAAACTATTTACTATTTAACCAACCGTTGATGGTTTCTATCCGTATTTTGCATATGAAACTAAATATGCGAAATTGGACGAAAATTTGTTCTTGTCTAAAGTCAAATTGAATATTGTTGGTACATGCCGACCTAATGTGGATATATATATATAGCTATTTCGTTGTAGTTATCAATTAAACGAGAACAATGCATTCAAGAAACCATGCATGCAAAGGATAAGATGCAATGACTTTGAAAATTTTACAAAGTTTAGGTGAAGATTTAAAACCTTTCTTCATACACAATTTGATAAATGAAAACATTAGTTGGCGACCTTCATTTTTGAATATTGCCAATATCCCATGACTTTTCTCTTCTCATTTGCTGCAAGCAATTGCTAGCTTCACGTAACAAGCTATCCGTTTGAACATAATAAAATGGTTTTTAGTTAAACCTGATTTATATAGAAGTGAGTAAAATCTAATTCGATTTGGAAGTTTAATTAGCGGACTGAAATTTCATACATTCGATTTAATTAAAAAAATCAAATAAAATATGAATAATCAAATTAATTAACTCAGAATTTTTTATTCAAATCAACTCAGATTAATTCAATTATTTAATCATAGTTTTTTTTGGTCTACAAAAGGCAACTCCTTGCCTAACTTCTTGAAGATCATTGATTGCCTCTAAGTTACCCACATGCCACTAGCTCTATAAATACCTAGCCATCATTGAACATCAAGGTACGAATCAACAGAAGCAAGGCATAACAAACACAATGAAGGCTGCATTATTTTCGGCACTTACTTTCCTTCTCTTCAGCTCAACAATAGCCGCTGATCAACCCGATGCAGTGCTCGACGTGTCGGTCAAGAGCTCCGAACCGGCACCGATTACTACGTTTACCGGTCATCCGCGGTAGAGGAGGCGGGCTCACTCTCGACAGCGCACCAACGCTGACACCGACACCGGTTGCCCGCTCGTCGTCGTTCAAGAGCAGGGGAAGTGTGAGCGGTCTCCCACTATATTTTTCACCTGTGAACGTCGAGCAACAAGGCGGTATTGTACGTGTATCCACCGATTTCAACGTCATATTCAACGCTTCTTCGATTTGTTTCCAAAGCACTCTATGGGAACTTGCCTTCGACGAATCTTTACAGAAGTTCGTGGCTACCGGCGGTGTTCCGGTAACCCGGGTCGTGAAACTCTGAACAACTGGTTTAAGATTGAGAGATTTGAAGATGATATAAGCTTGCTTTCTGCCCCGGGGTGTGCGATATCTGCAGACCTGTATGTGGGGACTTGGGTGTTTTTATTGATGATGATGGATTCGGCGCTTGGTGCTTGCCGATGAGCCATTGAAGGTTATGTTTAGGAGGGCTTGAAGTAGTCGTGCACCATCGAGACCTTATTTCCCTTGGATTTACTACCCCACACCTTTTAGCTTTTCAATTTTATGTAATATTTATGTATATGATGCCAATAAGATCGCAATAATGTAAATCTTGGGAAGTACTTATATGTAAAAAATATAATTGATTACATCTACATCTGCTGATAGATCTTGAAAGTAACCATAAATCTAAAAGTATTTAACATAAGACAAGCTGCCAACGAATCCAACTTCGAAAGTTGTTA